CATCCTTACCTTCATCAACATCATCCTCCCTACTTTCAGAATCAACATCCTCAACATCATCATCACCAGATTCTTTATCATCCTCACCTTCAGTATCTTCATCATCACCTGACTTTCCATTCTCCTCACCATCTTTACATTCATCATCAGCCTCCCAATCATATGAACCATCATCATCAACATCATCATTAGTAGACAAGAAGAAAATGAGCACAGGTCTGCGTGTGTATGTGCGCTCCAGGACTGATGTGGAAGCAACACTACAGGTTTTGCAAAGTGTAAGTCAATTAAATAACTTTCCATTAGGCGTATTGTGTGATGACAACACATAAAGTCTTTTATAGTGGTATAGTGCATCTGGAAAGTATTCATAGTGCTTCACTTTTTCCACTTTTTTTTTTTTTTTGTTACAGCCTTATTCCAAAATGGATTAAACTCATTTATTTTCTCATAATTTTACACAAAATTCTTTGAAAATTGTTGCAAATTTAATAAAAAAACTGAAAAAAGCCATGTACAGAAGTATTTACAGCCATTGTCGTGAAGCTCTATATTGAGCTCAGGTACACTCTGCTTCCACTGAACTTTCTTGAGATGTTTCAGCAGCTTAATTGGAGTTCACCTGTGGTAAATTCAGTTGATTGGACATGATTTGAAAAGGCATACACCTGTCTATACAAGGTCCCAGGGTTGACAGTGCATGTCAAAGCACAAACCAAGCAGTAGACCTCCGATACAGGATTGTCTCAAGGCACAAGGCTGGGGGTTGTTACAGAAAAATTTCTGCTGCACTGAAAGTTCCAATGAGCACAGTGGCCTCTATCAACTGTAAGTGGAAGATGTTTGAAACCACCAGGACTCTTCCTAGAGCAGGCCGGCCATCTAAGCTGAGTGAGCTGGGGGAGAAGGGCCTTAGTCAGGGAGGTGATCAATAACTACAGTCACTCTGTCTGAACTCCAGCTTTATTCTGTGGAGAGAGGAGAACCTTACAGAAGGAAAACCATCTGTGCAGCAATCCACCAATCAGGCCTATATGGTAGAGTGGCCAGATGGAAGCCACTCCCAAACCTTAAATTTGCCCAAAGACATCTGAAGGACTCTCAGACCCATAAGAAACTAAATTCTCTGGTCAGATGAGACTAAAATTTAATTGAGAAAACCAGGCACCGCTCAACACAAGGCTAATACAATCCATGCTGTGGGGATGTTTTTCAGCAGCAGGAACTAGAAGACTAGTCGGGATAGAGGGAAAGGTGAATGCAGCAATGTACAGAGACAACCTGAATGAAAACCTGCTAGAGTGCTCTTGACCTCAGACTGGGGCAACGGTTCATCATCCAGCAGGACAATGACCCAAAGCACACCGTCAAAATATCAATGGAGTGGCGTCACCACAACTTGGTGAATGTCCTTGAGTGGCCCAGCCAGAGCCAGACCTAAATCCTATTGAACATCTCTAGAAAGATCCAAAAATGGCGGGACAACGTCACTTCTCATCAAACCTGATAGAGTTTGAGAGGTACTGCAAAGTGGAATGGGCAAAAATTCCCAAAGACAGGTGTGCCAAGCTTTTGGCATCATATTCAAAAAGACTTGAGACTGTAATTGCTGCCAAAGGTGCATCAACAAAGTATTGAGCAAATGTAAATACTTCTGTACATGTGATTTTTCAGGTTTTTTTTTTTTAAATTGCAACAATTTCAAAAAATATTTTTATTACATTGTCATTATGGGGTATTGTGTGTAGAATTTTAAGGAAATAAATTAATTTAATCCATTTTGGAATAAGGCTGTAACATAAAAAATGTGGGGGGGAAATTAAGCGCTATAAATCCTTTCCAGATGCACTGTATAGCTTTATGACTGCATTTTAATCAAATACAAAAAGAGGTTGAAGAAAATAAGAAAATCTGAAAAATTTCAGGAAAAAAATGTTAGTTGTAACACAATTTTGTCTCACAAATGATTTATATTAACTAAATTTTTTTTACAATTTTAAGTTGATTAAATATAAAACAACTAAGTTGTCGCTTAAAAAATCTCAAGTTGTGTTGTTTTAGCTCCTTTTAAATATGTAGTTTGAACAAGCAAAAAAAAATTCAGAGTGAATTTCACGTTTGAGTAAAAGGTTATATATTTGTTTTCTTATATAAAGGTGTAAAAACCAGTGATTTTTAATTTCCAGAAATTAAAGTGAGTCAGAATAACAAAAGTTTTTAATTTGTTATGATAGAAAATCACAGTCATTATAACAAATATTTACTTATTAAATATATTAAATTCAAGGATTGGTCAAACAAATTGAACATTATCATGTCTAAAAAAACAAAAATAAATAAATTTTACTCAAAATACAAATCATACAAAATCATAAAACCAAAGAAAATGATAATTTTTCAAGCGATCTCTTAACTTTCCACATGGAACTTTATATATTTTAGTTCTATACACTCCAAAAATGATTACTGCTGCTTGTTCAGAC